CATGACACAAATTATTAGTAGACTCGCTACACTGTGTAAGTATAATGCCCATGTTAAAATAATCCTTATTAAATGTTATTTACCACTTATTCATTATCCTATGATGATCTTCCAACCAACCATGATTGTGGGGGTTCTCTTCTGTGATCATTTCTGCCCATGTTTTCTTAAACTCCTCATCAGAGCCACATTTGCTCAAACACTTATGGAAGAGACCTATGACTTTGTTGTTGCTATTGAAGAACGACACTTTTGATGGAGTCTTTTTACGGATATGCCATTGGCATAATCTACGATGAGTGTGAGGTGATGCAACTTATATGGCCCTAGCCATTGCTTGGTCTTGATTTGAAAATATTATTTTTGGATTTTATCACCCATTATTCATATAAAAGTTGTAAATTACCATGTAAATGATTCAATCGTCTCTTCTGATAAGAACGCCATCCCAAGTAAATTATTTTGTCAATGATTATTGACCCCGATAAATGGTGCACATGCCAAATTATACTAACTCAACCTATAACTAGTATAAAAAATTACCACATTACTAAAGTAGTCATAATCTATCTTACCAATCCCATCAACTTAAAAAAAATTAACAATTTATCAAATTCATTAATTTGAACATCCTAAGAAAACATGTTGTCATCAACTTAATATTCTTTAAATAACTGAATCAAAATATTAGTGTCGCCAAATTCAATATTTGCTCCTCTCTTTTTGAATAAAATTATATGCATCCCTCTTTGAGAATCAAATATTCTTGACACATCCAAATTCATCAACAAGGCAGAAAAATGCACCAATAGTTCTTATCCCGACTTCTATCATTGATTTAAGAATTGAAGCTTTATCATCGCACACATTCCTATATGATCTAAGAAGACGTTGATCTTCTGGCCTATATAAATCATGATTATTGTTTTCAATAAAAATTTTCTCCTTCTAATATCCAGCTTCGTCCACTGTAAATCTAATCATAGCCGGACAATCAATTCTAATGTCTGATTTTTAATATTTCATTTAGAAATTAAGATCAAGCATCTTCTTGAAACCAACTTTTGATCAAACAAAGTCTTCGAATTTTTTTTCTCTAGATTTTGGCCAATAAATATGATGATCCTTGCAAACACTAAAATCAACATTATGTCATAATTATAGTAAACCTCCTATGCATCTTTCTCATTCTCATAAATTTCCTGATAAATAAGTAGTAAATACAAATAAATAAGCAGTAAATACTCACAAAAATGTAAACAAGATGCAGTGAATATGCACAAAAGACGTCGTAAAAATACACAAAATATGCAATAATTAAGCATAAAGTACGCAATAAAAATACAATAAATAAGCATATAGCACTCATAAATTACCCATAAAATATGCATAAAGTACACAGTAAATAACATCAAATGCTCAATAATTAGTCTGTAAATATGCATCTAATATGAAAGGGAATACTCAATAAATACTCGTTTGCGTATCATGGGTTTATTTATTTTTTAAAATCCACAAGGGGCCTACATGTTGATAAAAAAAGGTTTACAAGGTCCTTACCCTTCAGCTCACAACTGCTCGAAAGAGCTAGAAATAAATCCAAAAAATAAAAACATATGAGCCGATGGTCTCTTCTTCTAAGCACAATTACACATTAACCTATGTACATTGTTGATAAAAGAGCCCATCTTTGTTAAGTATTTTGGTTTAGGTCTTATTTGAGAAAATATTGAGTTCCTATTGCATTACCACCACCTCATAGAATTTCCATGTTGAATAATATGTTATTCATGTTGCTTTTCAAATTCTTTTGCTGTGAGAGAGTGCTTGACATCATTTTTTGCATACAAAATAAATTGCAAGGAAAAATGGAATAACATGATAGTGCAAGTAAGGTGATGACAATGCAATAGGCACTTAGTATTTGCTAAACCTTCAACATTGGAATTCCATGAGGTGATGTCAATGCAAATAGCTAGATAATTAGCATATACACAGGCACCTATACAACCATCCAATAATTGACTTTATTATGTGGGGAGACTGAATAGTAAGGATTGTTGTGTATTCGTTGTGTATTTGTAAAAACCATACACTGCATTCCATAATAACTAAGGGAAGAAGTAAACTGCGAACCAGCTTATAAAGAGAAGATGGTCGACACATCCCTCCTAAAAATGACATAGAGATAACAATAAAATAGGTCAAACAAGCAATAAAGGACAATTACTAGAAGACTGAATCAAACGACCACCTTCAACCAACTCAACCCCAAGCTTGACAAACTGTAGAGATACATGTTCTAACATAATGACAATAATAAAAACGGTCAAACAAGCAATAAAGTATTATCCATAAAAGACTGAACAAAACGACACCCAATTCAACCAACTAAAACACAAATTATTACTCATGAAAGGCCAAGGCACCCTAGCAAAGAAACAACAAGATACACATAACAGAATTGAAAAAGCAAAAAAATTAGAATATACACAGTAAATAACTAGTAAATATGCACTACACATCCATTAAATATGCATTAAATACACATCAAACATGCAACAAATATACAATAAATACACAATCAAAGATGAAGCCAGTATGCAGTGTTTGGACTTAAAAATTGTGAATTAATTTTAAAAATTAATTAATTACAACACACCAGAATTGAAAAAGCAAAAACATTAAAAAAAATCAATAAATAATTAGTAAATACACACTAAATACGCATCAAACAAGCAACAAAAATATAGTAAATATACAATCAAAGATGATGCCAATATGCAATGTTTTTGACTTTAAAATTGTGAATTAATTTTAAAAATTAATTAATTAAAACACATAGCATAATTGAAAAAGAAAAAAAATTAAAAATATGCAGTAAATAACTAGTAAATACGCACTACACACCCATTAAATATGCACTAAATTTGCATCAAACATGCAACAAATACACACGCAATCAAACATGAAGCTAGTATGCAGTGTTTGGACTTTAAAATTGTGAATTAATTAATTACAACACATACAGATAATGTGGAGTAATGAAATAATTTTTTAAATATGCATAATGGCTACGTTGCTGTAAAGAAAATTTTGAAGGAGTTGAACCTTACCAATAAGTTGGAGTCTATATCTCCTAAACCTAGCTTTCCCTATGACTGCACTTCTTTTAATTGTTCTTCTTCCTGGAGATCTGCATACTGATTTTCAACCTCCACGTCTTGTGAGAATATCATCTGCTCGTAAAAAGAAACGACATCCTCCAGATCATTCTTCATCTTCTTCGTATGCTCGTAAAAAGAAACGTCATCTTCCATATCAATATTAATCTTTATCGACATTTTTTTGTAATTTCTTCTCAGCTAGCATAAAATTTTCTCTAAAAATTTTATATATTGTGAAACTTCGCGGCTGAAATAAAGAAATAAATTGAACTAATGAGGATGATCTTTAGGGCTGCAAATGAGCCGAGTCGAGCCGAGTATGTGAGTGTTTATGTTTGTTCAAGTTTGGTTCATGTTTGTTCGAGCTTTATTGTTTGTGTTCATGTTTGATTCATTTAAATTAATGAGTGTTCATGTTCGTCTCGTTTAGTGCTTATCGAGCTTTAAACAAACAAACACGAATGAGTTATAATCGAGCTCTACTTTTAGATGTTCATTAACTTAACAAACGAGCTTTATCAAACTTCCTAACAAATGATTACATCGAGCATGTTTGCGAACATATTTAACGATTTTTTTAAACTATCAAACAAATACGTTCATGAACATATTTATGAACAACACATTTATAATAAAAGCAATTGTCTATGTAACAAATGCAATGATTTATAAGCAAATCCCATATTCAAAGAATTTTCCTAACAACAGTAGTAACAAAGACAATGATTTATAAATAAATAGTCATATAAAACTATAATTACTTAGACAGCAAGTTTAGTAATATCTGATACTTGCAATAATCTGAAAGAGCGTTCTAATGGAAAGGAGAAACGTTCTAAATCAAATATTATTTATTTTTATCGAGCTTATTCATGAGTTCAAAATCAAACATGAATCGAGCTTTTATCAAGCTTCTTATCGAGTTTAATGTCGAGCTTGTTCACGAGCTTCAAATGATGTTGTTCGCGAACATAAATGAGCCGAACGCATTAGTGTTCAAGTTTGCTTATTTAATAATCGAGTATTTAAAATATTGTTCAAGTTTGTTTATTTAGTTAATTAAACAATCACAAACGAGCTTTAATCGACCGAACAACGAGTAGCTTGCCGAACACTTGGTTCACTTGCAACCCTAATGATCTTTTTGAGCAGGGTTCAGGCTGTAAGATAGAAAAAAAATAATAATAATAAAATCAAATACAGATTGAATATTCATGTGGGTAGGGCTGCAAGCAAACCGAGCCGAGCCGAGTATGTGAGTGTTCATGTTTGTGTTCATTTAATATCAGCTTGTTCAAGTTTGGTTCATGTTTGTTCGAGCTTTATTGTTTGTGTTAATGTTTGGTTCATTTAAATTTATGAGTGTTTATGTTTGGTTCATGTTCATTCGTTTAGTGCTTATCGAGCTTGTTCACGAACATATTTAACGAATTTTTTTTAACTATCAAACAAACATGTTCATGAACAGATCTATGAACAAACATATTTATAATAAAAGCAATTGTCTATGTAACAATGGCAATGATTATTTATATTTATTAATTTTATAGTCAAATATTAATTATTTTTGTCGAGCTTATTCACGAGTTCAAAATCGAGCACGAATCGAGCTTGTTATCGAGCTTAATGTCGAGCTTGTTCACGAACTTCAAATGATGTTGTTCGCGAACATAAATGAGCTGAACACGTTAGTGTTCAAGTTTATTTATTTAAGAATCAAGTATTTAAAATATTGTTCAAATTTATTTGTTTAGTTAACTAAACGATCACAAAGGAGCCCTACTCCAACCCAACAACGAGCAGCTCATAGAACGTTTGGTTCGCTACTTCGCTTGCAAACACGCTCATTGACTCCGCACAGACTAATTTCCGCACAGACTAATTTCTCCGTCGTTGGTCATACAACTATCGATCTTGGATCAGCAATGGAATTGGTTACGGCGATCTCTATGGAGAAGAAAGCCTGAAACCGATATGCCCTACCCAATGCATCCACCAGTTTTTATTTTATTTTATTTCTTCGGATCAGAAATTCCTCGATAGATCTTTCCGTCCAGTCATTAACGCGCACATCGATTTGAAGAAAACGTGATTTTTTTTTTATTGCGAAGCTTTCGGTTTCCGATGAAACCGTCGGCAATGCTCGTTACCAGGCAAAGTAGATTCCGGTGAGTTAGGGGCCCTCGAAAATGAGCCATCATCAAGAAATTCACTCTTCGAGGAACATTCCAGGTTTACTTTTCCCCTTTTATTCCGTCACATTCTTGAATCATTCGTTATTTTGATTTATGTTTGGTCATACCCTTATTGTTTTAATCAATCGGTGGTTTCAGGCAAATTATATCGTAAACTTTGTCTTTGCTTTACATTATTATATTTCTGGTTTGCTTGAAAATGTAATCGATTTCACTCCGCATCAATCTCATTTAAGCTTGTTTAGGAATAAGTTGGAATGACCTCCATGTAAACTGCATTTTAAGCTTCGCAGAAACCTCCATAGATTTCTTTTGCTCTGAAAGATCTGAAGGTTGTGTGAGGTGCTTTGGTGGTCATTGCCATCGATGATCACGTAAAACAACATGCATGCTGCAATCAAAGCATCAAATTAAAGACTTTTAGGCTCAATCATGCATTGTCTGTATATTTGACTCCATACTTCTCTGAACAGTTTTTTCTTTTTTTCTTTTTGGGTAACATCTTACGTTCAAATAACAACTGAATCAGTTATGGGCACGTTTCACAACTGCAGGACCATAAAGTAATCCTTTTGCTACCCTGATCACGATATTAGAAATAGTTGTATAACAAGCTATTTCCAATATTTTTCATGGAGAAATTAATCGTTTGATGCTGCTTTCACCATCTGATCTTGTCATTTGCTTAAGTGGGCAATAATTGTTGACCTTTTGCAAGCATTTATAATTTGTTCACTTCGTTTGAATCATATGGAATGGACAATTCCTCATCAACTACTTGTGAGTTACCTACAACAGGTGATCAGCATGCTTGACTGTGCTATATTTTAGCACCATAGCATTTTTAGTCATTTAAAGATATTTGAGCATATACCTTGAAATCATTTTGATACATTTTCATTTCAACAGGTCATTTGAACCCATCAACGAGGCTGGAAAAGCTGTTGAGTGAACCTGGAAACAGAGTTTGTGCTGATTGTGGGTTTCCAAGTCCAAAATGGGTGTATGCACATGATATCTATACATTCATATATCAGCAAATGTAGAAATTCTCATTTGTTGCGTTAAGCCACTGTTTTACACATACCATCGACTATGATTTTTCTCTCTCACCAAATGTTAACGTGATTAAATTTCCAAGTTGACCAGTCATAAAAAAGCAGAAAAGTGCATTTGATGATATCATAAATGCTGAATGACCTTTCCAAGAAAGCCTTACGAGGCTTGATACAGATAGCACTCTATAATCAATGTTGTAAACATAAATGCAGTAGTAACACATTCTGGGATAGAAGATTCATGCTTTATGTTCCATTAATAGTTGGATATTCACGGAGTGGGCAAGGGATTCTTGAATCTTTAACATGATTTGGAGTCACGCACTCACAACTTTTGCATCAACCATGTGCAACACTACGTTTTAGTCAGCAACCCTGCTGCCATTTTCTCATATGTAGGCCTAAATAGGTTATCAGAGGTGGTGAGATACAGAAAAGTAGGTAGATAATAGTTTATTAGGCGGTTTCTCATGACTTTGACATCCATCATGAGTATGGGAAACCAATGTTTCTTCACGAAAGTATTGATTGTTTACAAATGGTTGAAGACCTAGCAAGATGCTGTTGTTATGATATCCGCTGGTATGATTCTACTTCATTTTCTTAAGTGAAAACATTCGAGTCAAGGGCTGTGAATCAATCAAGGACATGTGGGTTTGATCCATTTTACATGATTGAACATGTAAAATCCATGAGAGTTTGTCAAACCTTGAAAGCACATGCAAGGACATGTGGAGCTGATCTATTTACATGATTCAACATGTAAAATCCATGAGAGTAGATCAAATCTTGAAAATAAAGGATGTAACACACCCTCAACAAGGAATTATTTGTGTCAACCCCATGATGACCCCTTCCCAATCAAACGTAAGATATTTTTGCCAAACTGTTATCTACTTCTAGCTTTGAACACCTTTGGACCAAGTTAACGATCCAATTTGGCTTATTAACTTGAGAGGAAGTGATAATAATACTCTTCCACTACTCACATGCCAGCTAGAACTCATCATTTCATCATAGCCATTTATGTAAATTGACCTCTTATATAGCATATGATCAAAATGACATCTGACAATGCTGTTGTAATTTCCTTTATATATAACTATTCACTATTGCCTCAGAATTGATATAATGAAGTTACTTTTCACCTTACTTTCTCGTTTCTATTCCTAGCTTTGCTTTATGTCATGTGTCCTGAAAAGGCTAAAGTCTACCTAGTCATTCATCACGAGAAACTTGTTTTAGCTCACTAAGTACTTTACGGAACCATTTGAGTAAAATAGCTACTATTGAGTGGATGTTGTGACACTCAATCGACCATTCAGATTCATGTTTGATTTTGTCGACATCGTGGGCTTCGAAAATTTATGCCCTTTTTTTCGAAGAGAGTTATATACTTATATGTTATGGGCCAAATTTTTAAAAGACATTTTAGATTATAGATAAGTACGGCCTAGAGTATTTATCCTCATATTGCAAGGACTTTAATGTATGGTTTCAAGTTTCCCATGGGTGTAAGCCCTTATGATTAATTATTCCTCTCCATGATGAGAGAGAAGTTTCGATTAAGACTAGTCATTAGGTGTTAAATGCTTAGCTCATAATAGTAGCAATTTAATTTTAGGATTGAGAAAATATACTGCCATTAGCTTCAAATGAATGGCTATGGCAATGATAACAAATCCAATTATGATCTTATGTTTATGTTGTCTAAGATTTTCATGGGCACTTGTCTACTTAATTAGTAGATGTAGTTAACCAACTTGACTAAAGAATCATTGTCAGCAGCCATGGGTTGCGTCATCTAAGAAGATTTTTTAGAATTGGATTGGATGTTTGTCTTTATGAAAAATTTATGTTGAAATTAGCTAATAGAGGTCTTTGTGCTTTATTAAGTGCATTGTATGATTCACTACTCAGAGGATTTTTAATCCTTTGCAAAATGTATGGGTTTTAGTTGTGATCGTAATTTAATGGTGTCAATTGGCGAAAAATCACTTAGAGTACCTCAGTCGTAATCGTATTTTTTGTGGTCCTATTTGGCTACAAAATCACCTGCTCAGAGGTTACATGCACGTCCTTACTAGCATGAGATCTTTGAGAATGATAATAGAAGTATGCCTCAAGTGACATTGGCTTTTTATGAGCTAATATTATTTTAACTTTATCGCCCTTGATAAACCGTTGCAGATTGTGGATATATTTTAATATTTGATATAAATATCGGCACTGTGATGCTTTAAAACCTTATATTACATTTTTTTCAAAAATTTCAAAAACCTCATTGTGAACTCTGATAGTCTAATCATTGCTCGTCCAAAAAGACTTGATAGACTTGGATGCAATGTATCCTTTAAGCTCTCACTATTCGTAAAGTTTTTCATGGACTATTGTTTTCTTAATAGTTTGCAGCGATATGCCTTCTTGAAATCTGTATTCTATTTGGTGATATCTGTATCATTAATCTACTTTTCTTATATATTGGACATGAATCAGGTCATTGAGCTTTGGAGTATTTATTTGTATCAAGTGTTCCGGCATCCATAGAAGCCTTGGAGTGCATATATCAAAGGTGTTGAATTTAAGCAGCATATTTATTCTTTATTTGCTTCAATATTGTTCTTTATTTATGTTGTTATAAACCTTTTTTCAATGTTTATCTTGTAGAGTCTATTGAAAATCTTTCCAATTCAAACCCACAAACCAAAAAATTAAACACACAACAAAAACACACAAATGCATGCAAGATATGCAGGAGTAGATAAATTAATATGAGTGTACAAATATTAACCAAACTATAGATGATATTACGCTCAACGATTTTAGCACACACTTGTGAATAATAAAGATAACCTACAAGCTTAACACTATACAAGTGATTAATTGTGTAGATATATAAATGAGAGAGAGGGGGAGGGAGAGCTTATATTCTTATTGGCCAATGGAGGAGGGCTCTCCACCTTAAATATTCTTGTCTTTGATTGCATTTAATGGGATTAATAATATCCCTCTACTTGTTGATGATAACTTGATGTTAATGTTAATGAATTAAATATAATATATAAGTAAATCTAAGCTCCTCCCTTAAAGGATGCTTATGATAAATTAGTTCTTCTCCTAAAAACATGCATCTACCCAACATCATTTATGATATAGATTGACATAATAATTCTTTAATTTAGGGGTGTCCAAATGGGTCTGCAGGTTAGGTTCGGGTTAAACCCTGATTGACCGGGGTATAAACGGGTTGACCCTAACCCCGACCCAGTTTTGAAAACAGGTAAGGATATCCAAACCAAACCCAACCCGTGCGGGTTAGCGGGTTGACCCGACTCGACCCGCAAACCCATGGATGAGTTGTGCGGACTATGGACGTTAGTGGAGCTGTGAGGGTGGAGTTTAGGGTGTGCGGGCAGACCGCAGGCGTTGAGACGTGCTTGTTGGACGCGGTTGCTGGTAGACCGACAGATGCGCTTGCGAGCAGCTGGCTCCTTGGCTTGGCAGACGGCGGAAGCCGAATGGCCGGAAGAGCAGATGACTGAGGGCGGACGCGGTAGTGCATGGCATAAACTGAGTCGCGTGGTTTTCTAAACTGGTCAATCGAGTCACTTTTGGGTTTTCGAGTCAACCCGAACTAGGCTTGGTTTTTTAAACAAGTTGACTTGCTGAACCCAAACCTGACCCATATGTCAAACGGGTTGACCCGAACCCAAAATTTTCTGGGTTGAGTCCGAGTTGGGTTTCGGATTGTGTCAAATATTGACACCCATATTCTTTACCAATTTACGCCATCCGAAGAGTTAACCTTTAATCCAATAGTTTGTGTTACCACAAAATGGCATTCTCCCCTTAAATATTATACTTTGAAAATAAAATGGATGTAAACAATAGAAACAATTTAGAAACAACATGCTTGAAAATAAAATAAATCAACAAATCCTATCTATAATATCAAAATTATCAATTAGCAAAAATTCATTTTTTTTTAAATAAAACACGTGCCAATTAACTAAGGAGATTATAAAATAAATTGCATTGCACTTGCAAAGAAAATCATGAAAATTAGAAGAATTGATTCATATGGAAACACATAGGCTAATCATAAAGGCAAAAATCATTTGAGCCAAATACAATATGGTTAACTGCCATATAAAAATTGAAATTCATGAGTTTATGATCATCCTAACATTTCTTTAAGTATCTCAAGTAATGTTTACCAATGCTAATCATAAGCTAGGTAGCGAAGGCTCATAGGCTCAAACAAAGTTGCATAAATTTGATTACATTGAATGTGTATCATTTCAAAAATAATTTAAGCTAAGTTCTCAAAATTAATTAACAATTCTGAGGCATGGATCAAACTAAGCAAGTAACAAAATTAAAGGTAGACAGTGAACATGAATCATGTGAAGAGCTAAGTGCTACGAAAATCCAAAAGTTATTTATCATTAATCTTATTGAAATTTCAATTTAAAACAAGATGATAATAAATCAAAATTTTATTTTATCTTGGTTTTTTAAATAACAATTAGATTTAAGATTTAAATTATGGTATTCAGTGAGGAGTTGTACTAGAATGATATGTGTGTGATTATAGATAATAGTTTGAATGATAATGTTGTAGAAATTAATATAATTGGAGTAAAATTGTAGCTTTAATTATTATTATTGATGTTAAGATTATTAATATTATAAGTGCTTAAACTTCTCAAGTAGGTTTGGATAATGTTGTAGAAATTAATATAATTGAAGATAGAATTATAGTTTTAAAGATTGCTATTGATGCTAAGATTATTAATATTATAAATTCTTATGCTTCTCAAGTAGGTTTGGATATGTCTAAATTAAAATTTTTAAATGACTCAAAAGAATTAATACAAAAAATATTTCTTGAAAAAGTGTTTTTATTGAAGGAGATTTAAATGAACCTGTGGATAGATAGATAGAAGATTTTAAAAGCATTCAGGATAGCTATGATTTTGGAAAACTAATGAATGCAGTAGGATCATATTAGATTTTATTCTAGTTTATGATTTTGTAATTGCTAATATCTTATTTAAGAAAAGGGAGGAACATTTAATCACTTATAAGAATAAATATAGTAAAACTTAGATTGATTATTTTCTTATAAAAAATATTTCATTTAGATTGCAAAGATTTTAAAGTTATTCCGAATGAAAGTTTATGTACCCAATATTGCTTATTAGTTGTTGACTTTAAGATAAAGTGATGGAACATGAAAAATAATAAAATATTGTCCTAGTATTAGATGGGGATATTTTAAGAAAACTAACAAAATATTTTTGAGAGAAAAATTTAAGATCATTAGAAGTCCATAAGAAGTCTAAGAAAGTAATATGTGATGCGAACAATTTAGCTTTTAATAATTTATATAATATATTAGACATTAAGGAAGGCTAAAGATATATGTATAGTTAGCCAAACAAAGAGATATGAGAAGTTAAGATTTAGTTCAAGTGAAGTGCATTAAGGACGAAGATCAAAAATTGTTTTTATTAGAAGATGATATTCATCAAGGATGAATGAAATACTTTGATAAGTTTTTCAATGAAGCTTGTAAGAGTATGATTGACTTTAGTGAATTTAACACCCTAAATGAAAATAGTGATTTTTATTTTTAGTGGCGTATTAGTAAAACCGAAGTTAGAGAGGCTTTAAAAAAATAAAGTGTGAAAAAACTATTGGACCTGATGACATTCCAATAGAGGTGTGGAAATACTTATGAAACTTTTTCAATATTATTTTAAAGACAAAAGATATTAGATGAGTGAGTTGATTCCTATTTTTAAGACTAAAAGTGATGCACAAGTGTGTTCAAATATAGGGGAATTAAGTTAATGTGTCATACTTTAAAATTATGAGAGAGAGTTGTGGAGCATTGGTTACGATGTGATACTAATGTTTCTTAAAATCAATTTGGATTCATGTTGGGTAGGTCTACTATGGAAGCTATACATTTATTGAGATGTTTGATGGAGAAGTATAGAGAGAATTAGGAGGATCTATATATGATATTTATTGATTTGGAGAAAGCATATGATAAAGTTCAAGAGAAGTGCTATGGAGAGTTTTAGAAAAGAAATAGGTTAATAATGCTTATATTCAAGTCATTAAGGATATGTATGTAAGAGTTGTTAATTGTGTTCAAATAGAAGGTGATTTGATCAAGTATTTTCCTATTTCAGTTGGATTACATCAAGGATCAACCTTAAGCTCATATATTTTTGCTTTAGTCATGGATGTTCTTACTAGACATTTGCAAGAGGTTATACTTGGTGTATACTTTTTGCTGATGATATTCTTCTTGTTGATAAGACCAGAGAGGGAGTTGGAGGTAAACTTGAATTATGGAGGTCAATAATAGGAAGTGAATGCAATTCAATAAAAACTAGAAATCAACTAATAGAAAAATAGAAAGAACACCCAAGAATACTTTTTATTGTATGGACTATAAAGAAAAACATAAGATACAACTGGATCTTTAATTTGAGAGGAAGATAACTAGTACAAATCTATTGAGGTATGGTCAAAACACTATGTTCATGAGATATTGAAATGTGGCAAGTGCGTTGGTGTTGACGCGAAATCTCTGGGTAGTGTCTTATCTACAAACCCATCTGCCTTCCAAAATTTACCTCGGAACTTAGCTCGTTAAAACTCCCTCGCCGAATAAAAGAAAAGCGAGCGGAGGCCGGGGCCGAATTTTCGGAGCCCACAGTTGGTGAGACCAAACGGCATCACCATGAACTAATAGTGTTCCTCATGTGTCTTGAATGCAGTCTTCGGGACATCGTCCTCTCTCATCATGATCTGATGGTAGCCAAATTTCAAATCCATCTTCATGAACACCATCACTCCACATAGCTCATCCAACAACTCATCGATCACCGAAATAGGAAACTTGTATGGCACAGTCTCCTTATTCAGGGCTCGATAATCTACACAGAATCTCTAGCTCCTATCCTTCTTCTTAACTAATAAGACTGTGATAGAAAAAGGACCCACGCTCGACCTAATGATCTTTGCCTCCAACATCTACTAGATTTGCCTCTCGATCTTATGCTTCTAGATATGAGTTTAGCTGTAAGGCTTGACACTAGTCGGTGGCACACCCTCGCTCAAGGTGATGTCATGCTCATGTTCTCTCGGTGGTGGCAATCCTTGAGGTGGTTGAAAGTCCTCACTAAATTGTTGTATAAGCGGTTGCACTAAAAGAGGGATGTCTCCCCCTCCAACCTGATCCCCTCCAAGCTATGCAACTTCACCAAAAATTTCCCCCCACCTTCTATATAGTCTTTACCATGGTTTTGAGAGAAACAATGATTTTGGATAACCATGCATCTCCCATGATTACCACCTTCCTTATCTCTATCATCATTTTCATCGTTTGTGCTCCCCAATTAACCTTGGTGTCTCCCAAGGTCTGCAGCCATTTCATTCCCAAGATGACATCAGTGCTCCCTAATTCCAATGGAAGGAATGACTCCCTCACTTGGACCCCTTGTATGGTCAGTACCACTCCCTACACACCCCTTTTCCTAACTCCACCTTCCCGGTGGCCATCATTACCTTGTAGCACCTATGTCCACCAATTTCACCCCTAATTGTTCCACAATCTAGTTGGAGATGAAATTGTAAGCAACCCTACTATCAATCAGCACCATTAACTCCTTGTCTGCTATGTCTCCCTGCACTTACATGGTATAGTTTGGAGTAAATCCCACTACTTGGTTTAAGGAGACCTCCACCACGCTAAATGCAGCTCTTCTTCCTCCTCCACTGCTGCCTCATCCCCACTTCCCTTTGTTTTCTCGTCATCACAGATGGTGAAAACCTGAAGAGTTCTATCCTTACAGAAGTGCTCCAGTGTATACCTCTCATCACATCTAAAATATAACCCCTTCACCCTCTTCTCCTATAGATCCATCTTAGTGAGCTTTTTGAAGTTTCCCCTAGGTCTCCCTCCTATAGTGTTCTTCTTCAGAGTCTCCCTAAAAATACTCAGTATTGATTCCTTGGGTGCCAAAAAGGTGGTAGCCATCATGTACGAATCTCCTGAGCTACTGCCTCTAGCCCCTCTCTCCAGGTGCCTCTGATTCTCCACTAACTGGGTGAGCTCCATAGCTTCTCTCAAATCACGAGGCCTTATCACTTTGATCGCCGCCTGAATCTCTGGTTTGAGCCCTTCATAAAGTTCCCTTCAAGTACAATCTCCGAAAGTCGATCCAGTCGGTTTGCAAGGTACTCAAACATCTCACGGTACTCCACCAATGTTCTCTCCTGCATTAGAAAGAAGAATTGCTCATAAAAGTCCCCTCCCCTGCTGGTTCGGAAACGTTCCAATAAGCAGTCCTTAAACCCCCTCTAGCTTTGTATGGGGTTGCCTCATATCCCTCCACTAGTACCATGCCAACGTTTTTTCCTCCAGGCATAGCTCCGCTGCCGTTAGTCTCTCCTCCGTTAATCCATTGATGACAATTACCTTTTCACTCTGTAGATTCACCAATGTGCATCATCTCCCTAAAAAATAGGCATCTTCAGCTTCCTTATCCTCAGATCTCCTTTGCTCCCCATGTTTCCTCCATAAACCCCCATTCCCCAAGGGGTGCCCCCCCTCCTCAAGTGTCCTTCGCTAAATCCCAAAACAACTCTCTCCAATTGAATTTTCCCTACTTGCCGAGCCCCCCACCCCTCTTCTTCTTCCCCCTTCCCCTTGGGCCCCACCCAAAAGGGAGCGGGATTTGTCTAGGCGGAATCCCCCTATTCCGCTTGATATAAACTTTAGCCAATCCAGGAGGGACTGACCCAACCTTGCCCTGTCTTGGAGGGGCCGGTCCATCAGTCAACCTTAGAGTCTAAAGGTTTTCGTTTGAGTAGATCTATAATTGAATATATGGAGTGTAATTTTAGTAGTAATAAATCTAGTGGAGGATTGTGACTTTGGACAATCAAGTCATTACTAAGAGAACACATTTAAGATATTTTGGGTTTATTGTTCAGAGTGATGGTGAAATAGATGGGGATATTATTTGTAGAATTAAAGTTGAATTGTTGAAGTGGAGGAATGTATTGGGTTTGTTGTGTGATATAAAAGTCCCCCTCAAACTCAAGGGAAAATTCTATAAAAATTAATGAGACCTACAATACTTTATGGGGCAGAATGTTGGCCATTAAAAGAGGGGCATACAATTATGTGTTGCAGAGATGAGGAAGCTTGGATGGATGTTTGACTTTACTCTTAGAGAAAAAATGCGAAATGAGCATATACGTGAAAAAATTGGAGTAGCTCTAGTGACAGATAAGATTAGTGAGAGTCTCCTTAGATGGTTTGATCACGTAAAGCGTCGGCCTTCTGTGAAAGTTTGTTAGGAAAGTTATGCCCTTATGAACTAGCCCGAGGCTAACCAAGAGGGGAGGTGAATTGGTGTTTTAAAAATCTTTTAATCAAAAACACAATCACATCCAAAACTAAAATTCACCACAAAGAAAATCAAAGTGCGGAAAAATAAATGCGGAAGTAGAAATAAAGAACATAGAGATTTATAGTGGTTCGGTCAACACGACCTACGTCCACTCCCCAGAGGCGCCCTCCGAGTATTGCACTAAAACTCAGTGACCCTCCTTTTGCTCCCACAATAAGGCGGAGAAGCCTATACAAACCTCCTTTCCACCAACCTAGGTGAGCCAGAGAACCCAACTCCTTTTCCTTCCTCCTGAAGCAGGCAAAGAACCTTGATCATATGCTGAAGCTTACATCTCTAGAACCCCCAAGGACAAGGGACTATGATGGAAGAAGAAGATGTGGATCAAAGCTTGGAGCAACTTTTGTGAAACCCTCTCACAAACCCCCCTCACAAGATCCTCTCTCTCTCTCTCTCTCTCAGGTCAAGACAGCAGCATAAGATCTACCAAAATGTAGAACAAGAGCTCTTAAATAAAAGAGCTTCAGAATAGCTCTTATTTTATACAAACCGACTTTATCGTTCAGCCCGATAGGGATATCGCCCTGGCCGATTAGCGTAAATTTCGCTCAATCAGCCCGATCGGTTTGGGATGATTAGAAGAATTTTGGTCATATCGTCCAGGCCGATATAATATCGTCCTGGATGATTAGTACAATTCTGTGAATATTGTCCAGAAATTTCTCTGAAAGGATGCTGGACGATGAAAAATTAGCTTGATCGTCCAGGCCGATTAGCTCAAATGCGAGGAAAATCGTCCTAAACATCGCTTTGAATAAAAGCTATCTGATGTTGATCGTCCAGGAGTAACTAAGGTATTTTGAACGGATCGTCCCGGCCGATCCTGTGATCGTCTGGGACGATTTGATCGTATCAATCAAGCCTTAATTGCTTTCCTTAATTACCAGATTAATTTAGGCATAATTGTCTGCATCGTCCGGGCCGATGTCCTGGACGATGTCCAAAAATAAAGAATACCCAAATAGATCTGGCGGCTGATTCTTTCTGATTTGAGCCTATCGTCCCGGCCGATACGAAGATCGTCTAGGATGATGTGCTTAATGACGGGTGTCTTAACTACGATGCCTTAATTAGGGTTTCTTTTTTAAGCTGATCGTCCAAGACGATTTTAGGATCGTCCCGGCCAATGTGATCAAAATAGAGAACTCTAATCAATAGACATAAATTTTCTCCCATGTGTGTGTGTGCAAGATTACTTAGCATCTGGAACCACATTTATTACAAATAGACTCAAGAAAGAAAAAGGTTTAAGAACTGACTCAGACCTAGTCTACCCAATCTTGAGCTCGTTCAAATTACAGTCCTGATCCTGTGGACCTGAAATGTTAGTAGGCAAGGCAGTCGTAGTAAAACAGAAGTGTTTGCAATCATCAAAATTCTATTTCTGAAAACATATACGCAACATTCTGATGATGACCTGGTTGAGAGAGTAAATGTATTATATTTGGGCTATGTTAAGAGAGTTAGAAAATATTAAATGACCCTTTTTTATTAGATTTAAATGCAGACTTGATTTTGTTTTGTTTTGAATTTGTACTTAGAGCATGTGTTGAGTCTTAGTTTGAGTTTGTATTTTGTAAAAAGTATGTTAGTGTAAACATTTCTTTTTCTTGTTGTTTTTCTTTTTAATTTATTGCATTTTGAATTAGTTAATTAATTAATTAAGTGAGATTTTAATTGTATTTTAAATTAATCAATCAATTAATTAAAAGAACATTTTTCTTGTTGTGTTTTATTTCAATTTAATTAATGAATTAAAATATTTTTTATGATTATTTATTTAAATTAGTTAATTATTATTTTATGTAAATGAAATTAAAAAATTTCTTCATTACAAATAACATTTTGAACTTATAACTCTTTCAAATTAATTTTTTGAAATGACTCAATTTTTCATTTAATTAATTAAAATAAATTGCTCTTCTTTCTCCCCCTTTTTATATAATTTGATTTTTAAATGCTCCTTATTATTTTTCTTGAAATTTTGGCAGTCTCTCGGTGATACCGGAAGCGAATCACGTCGTCGAAAAAAAAATGGAAACTTAGCACGTCGTCGCAATGAGCGACGAATCAAACCACCACCGGAGCTAAAAGGCCACCGGATACAGAACAAAAGAAAAACAGAGTTCTTGACTCTGGCGGTAAATCAGATTTGATTTATTTCTCTAAAAGGAAAAACTACTGAAATAATACAATTCAGCCTTTAAATAGGCTCAGCTAAAAAAAAAAGACAATTACAGGGAAGATTTATTTACAGAAAAGCCTATAAGCATCAAACAGCTAAACTACTCAGCTCCCTGAAATCGTTCCATCATTCTGCTCACGCCCATCTTCAGCTCCTGCGTCATTCTCCCGGGGTAGAAGACTCAACCTCATAATGTGGGTTAAATCAGCCACATTAAAAACTGCTGAAATGTTGTAACTGCCAGGTAAATCGATCTGGTAGGCATTATCGTTCACCTTTTTAACAATTCGGAAAGGACCATCAGCTCGTGGCTTGAGCTTCCCGTGAGGTCCTGGAGGAAAGCGTTCTTTTCTTAAACGAATCCAAACCAAATCTCCTTCCTTGAAGACCATCTTCTTCCGGTGTTTATTAGCTTGCGACTGGTAACGCTTATTCTGCTTGCCAATTTCTTGTTGTACTTGCTGATGTAGTTTTTGAATCTCCAAACCTCTTTGCTCTCCATCAAGATTGTAAGTGTCTTGTGGAACTAAAGGTGCCAAATCTAATGGAGTAAGAGGATTCCGACCATATACAATCTCAAATGGATTGTGTCGAGTGGACTGATTTATTGACCGATTGAAAGCAAACTCCACTTGGGCTAAAACCAAATCCCACTGTTTGATATTCTTGCCGACGAAGCATCTCAGCAAGTTTCCCAGACTTCGGTTGACCACCTCAGTCTGTCCATCTGTTTGTGGGTGAGCCGCGGAACTGAATTGGAGACGGGTTCCTAACTTGCCCCACAAAGTTTTCCAAAAGTAACTCATAAATTTGACATCTTTGTCAGAAGTCATCGTCTTGGGAATTCCATGTAAACGCACGATTTCTCGAAAATAAAGATCGGCGATGTGGCTAGCATCCAAAGTTTTGTTGCAGGCAACAAAATGAGCCATTTTCGAGAATCGGTCAACTACAACCATGACCGAATCTTTGTTGCGCTGAGTGCGAGGTAATCCCACAACAAAATCTATGCTTACATCTTCCCACGGCGCTTGCGGTATAGGCAAAGGCATGTACAGGCCAGCATTACTTCCCTGGGTCTTTGCGATGCGACAGATACTGCATCGCTTAACATGTCGTAATACATCACGGGATAGCATCGGCCAATAAAACTTGGCTTGTATTACAGCCAAGGTCTTATCTTTACCGAAATGACCCATCAATCCTCCATCATGACACTCAGTGATTATGGCCTGTCGTAAGGATCCTCTGGGAATGCACAAACAGGATCCAAAGAATAAATAGCCTTCCTTGATATGAAATAATTTGTATGGCTGTGTTTGACATTTGTTCCAAATACTGCCGAAATCTTCATCATCTGCGTAAGACTCCTTCAAGATTTCCATACCAACTACCTTCGTTTGCATTACGTGAAGCAACTGATGGCATCGGCTCAGAGCATCTGCAGCCTGATTAAGGGTTCACGCTTTATGTTTGATAACAAAGTTGAAAGCAGCTAAAAATTCAGACCAAACAGCATGTCTACTCCTCAATTTGGTTTGTGAGCTCAGAAACCGCAGGGCCTCATGATCAGTAAAAAGGATGAAATCCTTCGCCAGTAAATAATGGCTCCAATGATGCAAAGCCCGGACTATGGAGTAGAACTCCTTATCATACGTGGAGTACTTCTGTCTCGATTCATTAAGTTTCTCACTGAAAAAAGCTATAGGATGCTTATCTTGGCTCAAGACCGCCCCTATCCCCACGTTGGATGCATCACATTCAACTTCAAATACTTTGTTAAAATCTGGTAAAGCCAATACTGGAGCTTCTGTCATTCGTTGTTTTAACAGTTCAAAGCTCCCTTGAGATCTAATTGTCCAGCAGAATTGATCAGATTTCAGTAATTCGGTGAGTGGAGCTGCTATGGCACTGAAATTGCATATGAACCTTCGATAGAACGAGTCCAAACCATGAAATCTCCGGATGTCGGTGAAGGACTGTGGTGTTGGCCAATTGGTGATAGCTTCTATTTTCCGAGGATCTGCTTCAATACCTGCTGCAGAAATCACAAAGCCCAGAAACTCCATTTTTCGGTCTAGGAAGCAACACTTCCCAGGATGAGCAAATAACTGTTGCTCCCGTAGGAGTAATAATACTTGTCGCAAATGATAAATATGATCCTCGTAATTACTACTATAGATCAATATATCATCGAAGAATACAACCACGAATTTGCACAAAAAAGGTTGAAATACCTGGTTCATAAGCCTCATAAACGTACTTGGAGCATTGGACAATCTGAATGGCATCACTGTCCACTCATACAACCCATCACGTACCTTAAATGCTGTCTTCCACTCGTCGCCAGCTCTCAACCTGATTTGATGGTATCCACTCCGTAAATCAATCTTTGAAAACACCTTGGCACCATGTAATTGATCAAAAAGATCATCTATGCGAGGAAGTGGAAATCGATAACGAATATTAATTTTGTTAATTGCCCGGCTATCTATGCACAACTGGTAAGATCCATCTTTTTTTGGAACTAATAAAGATGGGACGGCACATGGACTTACACTGGGCCTAATGAAACCTTTGGACAGTAATTCCTCAAGTTGTTTCTGTATCTGCTCATGTTCATCCGGCCTAAGGCGATATGAAGGCCTGTTAGGAAGTATAGACCCTGGAATTAATTCAATTTCATGTTGAATGGATCGCAAAGGTGATAACCCAGCGGGCACTTCATCTGGAAACACATCGGCAAATTCTTCTAAGAGTTTCATGATTTCTGGAGAATACTTGATTTGTGAGCCAGCAACTTCCTTCAATATCAACAAGTAAAACATGGAATTCTCCTGTATGGTCTTACGGCACTGAGAATAATTCAACAATAATTCTTCAGAAGTGATTCGTTTAGGCTCACCGTCTAAAGGAAGTAACACCATAGAATTTCCTTCATATGGGAAGGAATAAGTATTTCTGGTACCGTCATGAGTAGTTTGACGATCATACTGCCAAGGTCTCCCTAATAACAAATGGCAAGCATCCATAGGAACAACGTCGCACCAAACTTGGTCTTGGTATTGTCCGATTGAGAAGGAAACTAAACAGCGCTTCGTGACTTTAACTACACTTCCCTTTTGAATCCAGGATAATTGATATGGTGCAGGGTGTTCTTCGGTTTTGAGCTGTAATTTATCCACCATTTCACAGGAGGCCACATTCTCACAACTTCCACCATCGACAATTACTTGACAAACTTTTCCTTGAATAGTACACCTTGTTAGGAAAAGATTATGTCTCTGCTCAGGAACACCCTTTTGGGTATTCAGCAACCTACGAATGACCAATAACGGTCCATCATCCGCTGGAATAGCCAACGAACTTGAAGAGATTTCATTAATTTGACAGTTTACTTCCTCCACATTGCCTTCTTCTACCCCATGTTCTTCTTCTTCAAGAAGAGTGACTATGCGTCTGTTCGGACAGTTTGCGGCAACATGTCCAAATCCGTGGCACTTGAAACATTTTCGGGCTGGATAACTGACGTCATTAGACACTTTCTGGTTCGTCTTGACTGGCTCCATGTTTTGACTGGTGCTCCGAAATTGTGGATCATTCTTGATTCCCCCTCTATCTCTACTGGTTTCCTTATTTGGCCAAGAACTTTGCCATTTTCTTGAACGATTTTGCTGTTTTTCCACTTTAAGAGCCAAGTTGACGACATCCTGAAAAGTCCAGTAAGTCTGCAATTGCACTATCTGGCTAATGGCGGGATGAAGTCCCTTTAGGAACCTTGCAATAGTGTTCTCCATTGGCTCAACTAAATCACATTTGAGTGACAATTGCTCAAATTCTGCCAGATATTCTTCAACTGTCTTCTGATTTTGTTGAATTCGGTGCAGTTTCAAGAACAAATCTTGTCTGTATTGATCCGGTAAGTATTTCCTCTGAAGTTCTTTCTTCATTTTTGTCCAACTAACAATCTTACTTCTACCTTCCCGCATCCTGGTTTTTTTAAGATTCTCCCACCATAATGACGCATTCTTCTTTAACTTGATAGCCACAAGTTTTACAATGCGATCTGGGTGTATCTCCTTAAACTCCAAGATTCTTTCCACTGTATGAAGCCAATTCAAGAATTCATCCGGATCTAATCTTCCCTCAAAATCAGGTAATTCGATTTTAATTCCACCATCGTCCCGGAAGGTTCTTCTTGTGCGACCCTGTGCTCTCTGCGCTCCTTCTTCTTCACTGGATGAAGTATGGAAAAAGGGGGTACCTCTGCTCCACCTTCTTGCTGCTCGCCTTCATCTCGTCGTTCATACTGTTCTAATCTTTTTTGCAACCTCTGTATTTCTCTTTGCAGCTCCTCTACTACAACCTCCTGTACTGGACGTTGTTGATTTCGACGAGGAGGCATGACTGGAGCTCTGATACCAAAATGATACCGGAAGCGAATCACGTCGTTGAAAAGAAAATGGAAACTTAGCACGTCGTCGCAATGAGCGACGAATCAAACCACCACCGGAGCTAAAAGGCCACCGGATACAGAACAAAAGAAAAACAGAGTTCTTGACTCTTGCGGTAAATCAGATTTGATTTATTTCTCTAAAAGGAAAAACTACTGAAACAATACAATTCAGCCTTTAAATAGGCGCAGCTAAAAAAAAGACAATTACAGGGAATATTTATTTACAGAAAAGCCTATAAGCATCAAACAGCTAAACTACTCAGCTCCCTGAAATCGTTCCATCATTCTGCTCACGCCCATCTTCAGCTTCTGCGTCACTCGGGATCCCCTCCCCTCGAAGGGAGATTGGGACGCACTTGCCATTATTTTTCTCGCTCGGATCAAAGATACAACAGTGTTAAGTCATCAAATTATAATAATCCTGCTCGGATCAATGATACAATGGTGTGAGGTCTTTAAATTAAACATTCTTGCCTGGATTAAAGATACAACTGTGCATGTCTTCAAACTATTGGGTACCTGTTGTTTCTTAGTTTATTTTATTTATATTTTTTAATTTTATATATAAATTCTTGAAAATTCTACAGCCTCTCGGCTTCCCCTTCGTGCGAAGAGAGGTTGGGACGATACTTCCCGTTATTCTTCTTGATCGGATCAAAGTTACAATGGCGTGAGGTCTTCAAATTATAATCATCTCGCATGGATCAAAGATACAATGGCGCAGGATCTTCAAATTGAACATTCCTATGTGGATTAAAGATGTAGCGAAGCATGTCTTGAGATTTGAGGGTACCTATCTATTTATTGCAAAATTGTATTTAATTATACCGACAATTTATTTTAATCCTTAAATGTTGGTTGGAGTCGGTCTGCATGAACAGAGCAAAGACAGACATTTTGGATTACTGTCTTGAACTAAAGCAGACGAAGAGTAGGCAATGCATTGTTTCGTTTTGAGTAATAGGCACGGGTAATTGAGGCATTTCACACACAGCGTGCGAGACATAATCTAAGGTCTATTTTTTGTTTCATTTGTTTTGTATAATCCGAATAAAGGTTCCCCTTTCTCAAACGTTGTGTTGTGTTTTTTTGATCCGGGCAGGTTGATTGTAATTTGAAGATATTGCGCTTTTGTATTTTTGATCCGGGTGAGAAGAATAATGACAAGTGTTGTCCCAACCTCCCTTCGCACGGATGGGACTCCAGGAGCCTGCTGAATTTTAAAGGAAAATAATAAGGAGCATTTAAAATTTGAATTATATAAAAAGGGGGTGGGTAAGAAAGAAGAGAATTTTCTTTTAATTAATTAAATGAAAAATTGGGAGCCATTTTAAAAATCAAATTGAGAAAGTTATTAAGCTTAAAATGTTATTTGTAATTAAGAAATTTTTAATTTCATTTAAATTAACTAATTTAAATAAATAACCATAAAAACATCTTAATTAATTAAATTGAAATAAAACACAACAAAATATGTCCTTTTAATTGATTAATTAAAACACAATTAAAACCTCTCTTAATTAATTAATTAATTCAAAATGCAATAAACTAAAAGGAAAAATAACAAGAAAAAGGAATATTAACACTAACATACTCTTGTACAAAACACAGACAAACTTAAAACTCCAAACAAAACACAAACTCAAACAAATTTTAACTCAGCACAAGTTCTAAGTACAAACTCAAACAAAACTCTAAAGAGCAAAACACCTAACAAAACCCCAAACAAGCTCCAATATGTGCGGGCTCCAAATACCTGTAAACAAATAAGCAAAAGCAAAATTAGTACCATGGCTCTGATTAGGTTTATTTTATACACGTTTGAGATAAAGCAGTTAATGGTTTAAAAAATCATAATAAATTCAATTTTAATTGAAAATATATCATGAAATATATTGCATGGTATGAACTCGATGAATTAATGTATTAGAAATTTAGTCCATATTCATAATGTATAATATAGGTACTATATTAATCTTAAATAATACATAATTATTATGAATTTTTAAATATATCATTTAAGCTTGAAAAAATTTGATTTTTTTTGTGTAGGATTACATATGTTCTAATAAACTATCATAAAAATTTCATGCAAAATAAAAATTCTAGAACTATAAAATAGTTCATAATATATAAGCTAATTAGCTTTAATTAACATAATTAAACATGATTGACATGTAATTTATAAATTAATAATATAATGTATGAAACTTAAGCTCACATAAATTAATAATATTATAAGTAATCAATTCTAGATGAAATAAAGTTGTAGCTCATGTTTATTAATCATTATATGCAAATAATAAGCACCAATGAATTAAATATAGAAAATAAATCTGAATTAATTCCTACAAATCATAGATAATTCTAGATTAATATAGAAACATAATTTAGATCAATTCTAGCAAATAATGTAATTCTTTTTAGGTTTGTGTTCATCATTTTTGAGGTCTTGCTGAATCCAACTTTATCAATTTACAATAAGAAATGCATAAAACTCGACTGACTTAGACAGACTTGCATGAACGTTTGCATTTGAATTTTTTTTACTTGAACACCTTCAGCTCTCTTCCAAATAGCAAATACTCGATGCTAGTCTAGTGCCATATAGTAATCACCTCCATGGTTGGCTAATAAGGATTTACTAGAAAGAAAACACTTATCAGGGTCAACCCATCTTATATTAATTATTGATTAGATTAGAGCTATAGCACTTATAAAAGACTTGGCCTGTAAACTTAGATGTCGTGCATCTGGATGGATTTAGGTAGATGGATTTTTGGCTGTCTTGGTTCTTTTCTAACTAAAAAAAAAAAAAAAAAAAAAAAAAAAAAAAAAAAAAAAAAAAAAAAAACTAAAAGGAATTGTACTATACACTAAATATTTGGTATATGGCTTCATGGTGTTCAGGCTGAACTGCATGAGTTTCTCTATCTCTCTCTCCTTCCACCTGATATATAGGCAATAGTTCTCTTCTAAACATTGCATGTCTTCATGCCTCATCCTTTTCCTCTCCGTCATCCCTCATTTACAAATACTCAACTTCCTCCGCAAATGTGAGCATCATCAGGAATTGAATACATGGAGATCTTCTACCCATCCTTAGCATGGTTTATGTGTTTCTGTAAATGGGAAGCTACTATGGTGATTTCATCCATCACTCAGTTGGATCCATCCTGAAGCTCTAATACCTTTAGCAAGCTCAGAAAATATGTGATTGATAGTTTAATAACGTTGATTCTTAATTGAGTTGGAACAACAGAGGGGTTCAAGAGTGGTTAACTGCTGATTTTGGAAGATATTGGGGAATAGGTGCAGTGTTGGAGGGTGGACTTGCTGCTTGCAGACGGAAGGATGATAATCTAACATTCCAAGCGTCAGGGGTAAGAATTAGAAAAACATTCTGTAATAAATAGTAGAGGGAAACATTCAGCATATATGAGAAGGTACAAAAACATGTCTCAGCCAAAAAACCATGATCTCAAACTTATTTGATTAATTGATATTAAACATTCTTTGATGATCAGTGTGAAAGAAAGAACTGAATCAAAATGCAAGTTGTGCTAATGACAGCTACAAAAATTTGTGCAAGGATGGCAATTTGTTATTTTTTCTGATATTGAACAAAGTAGGCAGTTAAACAGTATGGTATCTTGATATCTTCTTCAGGTCTTGTCCGTGAATCTTGATGAATGGACGGATCATCAGGTTGACTCTGTAATTGATGCCGGTGGAAATGCTGCTGTAAATATGAGATATGAAGCTTTGTTGCCTGATAATATTAAAAAACCAAAACCTGACGCATTGATAGAGGAACGTGCTGATTTCATCAGGTAAATTCTAACACCGTAAAATAATACAATCTTGCTTGAGGAACATATTTATTGATGCATACTGGCTTGGAAATCTTGGCTTATAATTATTGCACATACTCCAAATTTATTTGGATTTTTCCGTTGATCTCATCAGATGAATTCTAAGAAATTTCTTTTGAATTTGGTGTTTGAGCGTTCAATTTTATGATTTTTGTGCATCATTATTTTACTTAGGAGAAAATATGAGCTTCAACAATTTTCAGCTAAACATCCTACATCTGCATCTGCATCTTCAATATCATCAAGTTTGAGCTCATCAGCGCAGAGCAATGTTCCTAATAACAATTACTTGAGCTCATCAGCGCAGAGCAGTGTTCCTAATAACAAGTACTCTGAAAAGAAACGCATGAGTATCCGGTATGGGCTTAGTCAAGCATTCAGAAACAGTTGGAGAAAAAAGGAATCTGAACAGAAACCAGTCAAGATGATGGTATCAAATATGTAGATCTTTTTACATCTATCAATCATGGCTTGATCTACTTCAATCAGTTTCAGTTTCTTATGATGATTTATATTTTCTTAATCACTTGACTTCAACAACAAAGCAAACTGTTGCAGATGGGGATGGTTGAATTTGTCGGTTTGATTAAGGTTAATATAATAAAGGGTACCAATCTTGCTGTTCGTGATGTGGTTACTAGTGACCCTTACGTCATTTTAACTTTGGGCCACCAAGTGAGAATGGTTTGAATACACTGATCAATTTGTACTGCTTTCTGCTTTAAAGTTAATTAGTTTCCATTTGGTGCAGACAACAAAAACACGAGTGGTGAAGAGTAATTTAAACCCAGTATGGAATGAACGGGTGATGTTTTCAATTCCAGATCCTATTCCGCCCCTGAAGCTGGTGAGCTTTCTGTTTTGTATTTTAAAAAAAAAAAAACTCAAGAAATTTACTGAGGATGTGATAATAATCACCTAAACTATCGCTTTACCTATGATTTATCTTTTTTGGTATTTTACTATTTTTTCCTGAAATGGAATATTCTCTTCACTAACATGCCATTCTACACGCGATTCATCATCTCCATATGGATTTCAATCCGCTATCTCAATTTGAGTATGGGATTTATACCACCCAAGCAACCCTTTATAAGCATTTCACCTCCAAGCTGTTTCAACTTCATATGCTCTTTTCCACTCTTCTTGTCAAAGGTTAAAACAAGTAGAAATAAATAGAGAGAGTTTCTTTGTTGCTGAAAATTTAGAATAAATCATTTTGTCAACAAATTATCATGGCCCAACTAATAGAGCAAGATCAAAGGTCAAGATGAAATTAGCAGCTATGAGGCCCTCATCACAATATCAAGATCAAGGGCCAAGTGAGATTCTTTCAACATGAAGGATAAAAGAAGTCAAAATTTGAAAATATTTGAAATTGTATACATGATTAAAATTTTAGTTTTTAAAATTTAAAATCTTTCCCTCTATGTGGGATGCTTCATTTATTTATTATCCCTGTTTTATTATTGTACTTTCCTTGTTTAGAGGCCAATAGGGTTGCCCTCCTTCATTGGGAGTGGAATTGGAGTACTGCTAAATTCACTTCCTTGGATTTGAAGTTTTCTCTTAGTTGTTTTAAGTGTTAAGCATTAGAACCCGATGTAATTGTTTAAATATTTGCTTTGTTGATTTAAAAAGAGTTTATGGTATTTTGATAAAAAATTTTGAGTGATAACTTTTGGGTTTTGTGCTTGGAGGCGACTTCTCTTGGATTTGTGTGCTTCATATCCAACCCCTCTTGGGTTCTTCTTAGTGGAAGCCCTACGTATCCCTCATCTCTCTCTCCATGCCATCTACACATTCCTCAAAGCCTCATCCTACAGGTTTTCTCCACCTCCAGCAATAAATTATTTTTTTGAAGCCTCTTACAATGGGGTGGCCACAACTAAGGCATTTTTTATTTAGTCTTTCGGTCTTTTCACCACCCTCCATACTCCATACCAAAAGCTCCGTATTACATCATCACACACTCTAATATTTCCAAACCTCTCTAGCCCCCAAAGACACCATCAGACCTATTCAATCACATTTTTCTAGCTGAATCAGCCCAAACATTGTGTAAGAAATGTTTAATATTAAAAAAAGTACTATTATTTAAAAATTATAGTTAATAAATAATTTAATTAAAAAATGATTAAAATACCCCTTGATTTAACACCATTAACCTCAAAATTTGATGTTAGGATAAAAAATGTTTCTTTTTGAAGGAGTTGAGAGATCAAATTAGTCTGAGAGGGACCATTTTTATTTTTATTTTTGACTTTTTTTTAGTGCTATCCAATTATAAATTTTATGGAGTAAATTTTTGCAATGCTAAATATACCGTTATCTTCCTCATATGCATGCCACGAGTCCTATTCGCCATCCACTCATTCTAACCTACCTCCATTCCATTTCTCCCGTCACCTATCCCTTAACCTGGCCGTGCCTGGAAACATCTAATCATTACTTCCCCATATATGATTATCATTGAATAACCTGACACATTAAATTTTCAGTTGCTAGATTCGTCAAACAATAATTTGATTGAGGAAATTCAATAGATGGATAAAAAATTCATATAATTTTCTAGTAATACTCAGATCGAGAGTGAAAAAGATAGAGGAAATGAACAGATTTAAAAAATAAATCGAACGGAGATCTACTCAAGGATCTTAGATACATTTATACTTCATATATTATACAGTTAGTCCTTTAAGTTTATTGATTTGACAGCAAGTATACGATAAAGATACCTTCAGCACAGATGACAAGATGGGAGAAGCTGAAGTAGATATCCAGCCACTTGTTGCAGCAGCCAAAGCATACGAGAACTCTTCAATCATGAAGGCAACGCAGCTTGGAAAATGGCTGGCTACAGAGGACAATACCTTGGTCAAGGACAGTATAATCTCCCTTGTGGATGGCACAGTAAAGCAGGAGATCATCCTCAAGCTTCAGAATGTTGAGCGGGGTCAGATAGAGATGGAGCTTGAATGCATTCCCCTTAGTCAATAATGGCTGAAACTTGGATTTTTATTCAGTGAACCTTTTCCCTATTTTTATTTGTATTTATAGGTTATAGGAAGAACCAATCATCCCTCTTAACTAGTAAAGATTTGGTGATAATAAAAAGTTTGTAAATTATATATTTGATTTGTACCTCATAATGTCTTCCATTATATCTTTACTGTTTGTTTATTGATTTAGCTGTGAAATTTAAATTTGCATTTTAAAGTATTAGGTTATATTCCCTGCAATCCAAATCAGATTCAAGTCATGTTCGTCACCGTTTAATGTGCAAGTTTATGTCCAAATTTTTCAAGTTACCTACTTTCAATCAAGTTCAAATTCAGCCTGCTGTCATTTGATTTAAATTCAAGTTATTCTTAATCGTTCAAATTCTGTATAGGCCCCATATAATTGTTTAAGTTTTGTGCGTCTATACACTGAATTTCAACAGCCTCCCAACATCCCCCTCATTTAGAGGAAACTACAAGAATCTTATCTTGTCTGTCACGTCAAAAAAGACGTGCACAATCGGTCTCGAGCGACACTGCGGCTGTAGTTTTTAACCCCACCACCTGGATAGTGCAAATCAAGCTCCTTTGGGAAGAACAAATGCTAACATGCAACAGGGTGGATAATAATAGGTATATTGTATTAGATAGAGGCTACAACAGAAGGCCTCGGCCTCCACCGCCACCTGACTATGGCCATTACTAGAGCTTCATGAAGGATATGACCAATTGCCTACCTGCAGCACAGTGAGCATTATTCAAATTTTTTTTATTCAAGAGCATTTTAGCGGAACTGGATGTAACATTTGACTGTAAAATTTGTATTTGTAACATTTGCTTGTCTTCAATTGGATTTATTATGTCAATTTGATTTTGGATAGACTAAATGCTTATAGCAAATTTATAATATGTTTACTACACTAAAAAATGTTTTTTTCATTCACAGTCCCTCACTCCATCAAAAATCTTGCTCCAGTTCTTTGGAATTCGAAGCTCTCAATAGAAACTTTCTGGGTTAGTTTAACAGAGCATTACAACACACATCCATTTGTAGAAGGTAAAACTTAATTAGGAGGAAAACACACTGTATTCATTCTTAGGAGCTCGCTATGAAGAAAATGCTGATAACAATACTTTTTTTTTTTTTTTTGCTGATAACAATACTTCCTCATAACAATACTTCCTCTTACAATACTTTTTTTTTTCTATTTTCTTGGGCTGGGTGAATGTTAGAAGAGTGGCCCAAGCTAAGCGAAGAAGCTCACCAGAGCAAAGGTCGTGTCGGTTCTAAGGAGGATGAGCTCCCTGCGGCTTTTGGAGCCCGGCTGGTTCTTGTTCGCAATGAATGCTACTATATTTGCTTGCAAGAGATGCTATTATATATGAAGAATTATTTTTTTTTATATTTAAAAACATAAAACCATATTTTGGAAAATGTAATGTATTATCTAGAATTTCAAATTGCTTAGAATGAATTAAATATTTATTTCTCTCATTTTAAATTTCTAAAATTATGGAAATTCCCTCCACATTAGATCAATGTCACATAGTGATTGATCAAAAAAATAATAATAAATTAATTTGAAATTCAAATAATTCATAAAATAAAAATGGCTATAAGGCTTAAAAAATAAAATTCCCTTGTTCTCAAGGCCATTTTAAAATAATTAAAATTGAATCAAAATCATCCCAATTATAAATTAAATAATTTTTTAATTGCCTTAATTTTTAAAACTCTAAGAATTCATTTTAGTAAAATATAAATTACTTTGTAAGATTGTCAATTCAATATTCATTCACTAAATTCTATGAATTTAGAATAATTTTGATGAAGCCAAATCTATCATTATTGTTTTGAAAATTAGAAATATCAATTCACCCAAAAATCATTAATCATTAAATTTAATGAATCGGTTTAATTTAACAAAGTCAAATATTTTTTAATTTTTTGATTAATTCAAACTTAAATTCACCCTAAAGTCTTAGCTCACTTCTTATGATTCGTATGATTTGAGCAAGTGGTGGAGCAGGCAGCCATCGTGGTGGAGCAGGCGGTCACCGTGACCAGCATGATGGAGCACAATGTGACGACGGAGGATGAGCAGCCATAAAAGCCGAACGAAAAGCACCAGAGAAGATGACGATACAGTTGGGCGGCGTCTCCCTAGGTATCTCTGTCGCAATGATAGTAGCGTTCATTGCCAACAAGAGATCCAGAAGCCGCATGGAGCTCATGCTCCTTAGAACCAGCGCAGCCTTTGCTCTTTTGAGCTTCTTGGCTTGGGCCGCTCTTATGATATTCATCCAGCTCAAGAAAATTGAAAAAAAAAAAAATTAAGAGGAAGTATTGTTATCGAAATTTTCTCCATGGCAACCGGCGTCGTGCTCCTCAGCATGAACGTCGTGGTATAGCTCTCAGTAATGGATGTAATCGTTCTCGTAGAAGCGAGGCAATATAGTATGTGCTTTTCTCCTAATTAAATTTTACCTACTAAATGATTATGCGTTGTAATGCTCTGCTAAAGCTAAACTAGCGCAGAAAGTTTCCATTGAGAGCTTCAAATTCCAAACAACTGGAGCAAGATTTTGATGGAAGTGAGGAACTGTGAACGAAAAAAACAATTTTTAGCGTAAATAAAAAAAGTTGAATAATGCTCACTGTGCTGCAGGTAGCCAATTGGTCATGCCCTCCATGAAGCTCTAGTAATAATGGCCATAGCAAGGTGGCGGTGCAGGCCGAGGCCTTCTTTTGTACTCTATATCTACTACAATATACCTATTATTATTATCCACATGTTGCAGGTTAGTGTTTGTTCTTGTCAAAGGAGCCTGTTTTCAATTTCAACCAAAGAAAATGAGGCTCTTCCATCGATTAGTGAGAGAATTGCTTAATGATATAATATTCCAATCATCAGACCTTATTAGAGGACACAAACCAATCGAGAATGAACAACTTCTTAGGAATTGAGAGGCAGCTAGAATTGAGACAATGAACAACACTTGGGCCTATAGTCATCACAAAGTGCATGAGGGTGGTGGATAAGAAATATTACGTACGTGCAGTGTACAGATGCAGTCGGAAATCAAGCCGGACATATCACATCACCCAATGCACATTGCATTAGATGACGTGACGTGTGGACTGGCATTCAGACATATTCGAACACCGCATAAAATAATCTCTCATAAGGCTGAGCTTTTTTGGAATGACCTGTCAGATACTCTACTGGCTTAATATCATATCCCTTTTCATGCAGGGAGTTGAGTTAATAGAGCTCAATATCATTACTTCTCATTTTTAATAGAGCTAAAGGCTTATGTTATTATAGCCATCAAACTATATAGTAAAAAAAAATATAAGAAAATTTTATGTCATAAAACTATATAAAAAATTACGGATACTTTTTGAAAAAGGGTTATTATAATTAAAAATAAATAAATTGTTAGTAAAAAATATATCTTGATAGGCAAATTTGTTAAATATTATACCATTTTATAATATGAAAGTTGTAAGGAAATATTTATCTGATTTTTATAAATTGAAAAAAAATATAATACTTAAAATAATTCACTACAGGAAAAACGTCAAACACCGGCGGTTTTTTCCGGCGGTTAAGAAGGCAAAGCCGGCGGTTTTAAATTTTACCGGCGGTTTTTCGGCGGTTCTTAAAACGCCGGAATAATTGGCGTAGGAAACTTTTACCGGCGGCTTATTACCGGCGGATCTGTTAGGAGGCGGTTTTCCGGCGGCGTATGCCGCCGATGACTACCGGATTTGTAAACGGCGGTTCTCCGGCCGTTAAAGCCGCCGGTTATATTACCGACGGCTAACCGGCGGTCACTTTACCGACGGTATGCCGGCGGTTAAAGAGGCCGTCGTGTGTTCGCTTAACCGTCGGTAATATTTTAAAACATTTATTTGAATTATTCTGTTAGATAATTACAATCTTAAAAAAAAATACCTTGCAACTACCAAGCATTCATAGATAAAATTAGGGGACGAACCTCTACAAAAAGATATGTGGTGATGAGAGAAAAGCATTTCTTGGAGATTGAAAGAGAGGTGGTGAATTCTAATGAGCATATAAGAGTGGTTATATATATAGGCAAAAGAATAGAGTATTATAGAAAATAATATTCTTCATAATGAGGATATTTTTATAATAATAATGATCATAAAATTTTACTATAACTATTACACATTTTTAATATTCATATGGAAGTGAATAATTCTAATTAACTCTAACAAAAAAGCTGTCTAGGTTCTAAATGTTTCTGTTTTGAGAACTGTCGCATGGTTTTCTAGAATAAGGAGATGGTCTTCATTGGTTGTGTCGAAGGGAAGGATTGGTTATTGCATGGGTTTAGGTAGGGGTGTCAAGTCAGGTTCGGGTCGAACCTGAAACTGACCTGACATTGTTCGGGTCAACCCGAACCCGAACCCGACCCGATTCGGGTCCGGGTCAACCCGACCCGACACGAATGACCGAAGTTGACCTAAAATTGCTAGTTTTCGGGTCAAAATGGGTCAATCTCGGGTTTCCGGGTCAAATAGGAGTTTTCGTGTCAATTTCAGGTCAATTTTGAGTTACTGGGTCAAACCGAACCTAGCCTGATTTTTAAAACTGGTTGATTTGTTGAACCCGAACCCGACCCGTTTCGGGTCCGAGTTGACCCTAACCCGGATTTTTTCGGGTCGTTTTCGGGTCGTGTTTCGGGTCGTGTAAAAAATTGACACCCCTAGGTTTAGTTGCTGGCTCTTCCTTCTATTTTAAGTATCTTCTTATAATGAAATTTAATATCTCAACAAGATGAATGCATCGACGTCACCACTAAAGATTTGATTTGAGTCCCAATAAATCCAAATCAAGCAACTAAAGCATACTTAAAAGCTTCAATACATCAACTAAGGGATCAAATGTTCTCCAATCCAAGTGTTCTAATAGTCAAATCGAGCGGCTCAATGAGGAGAATCTTGCGAGGTCAATATCTTTTGGTTTGAATATTATTAAGAAATTCAAATATTTGATAAATAATCTATCATTAATAGGATCAATATAGACTGTATGATAGAGAGTTTGAATAATATTCAAATTGATTAAAATACACCTCTCAAAAAAACCTATGTTACACATCAGTGCAGCACCACCTGGATACTGCAAATAAATGAAAAATAATCTTAGGTAAATCTTCAATAATATAGAAGTGCCGGACAAAATAATAAAAATATTTTTTTTATATCACATTTTTCAAACTAACAACAAAGTTCTTAGGAGAAAATTTTGATAGAGATATTTTTTAATTTTGTTCCAGAAAAAAGAATTTCTATTTTCAACTCTTTTACTAATTCCTTATAAGATATGTAGATATTTTTTTAGTAAAGCTTCTAACTCCTCACATTTCTCAAGGATGGGTGTCAATATTTAACACGACTCGAACCTGACATGAAAATTCTAGGTTAGGATCAACTCGTTTGCCATACGGGTCAGGTTTGGGTTCAACAAATTGACCCGTTTTGAAAATCGGGTCAGGTTCAGATTAACCAAAAAACCCGAAAGGAAATAACGATAGAATAAATAAATTTTTTTCTATGTTAAAATCAATTCTATCAGTTAAAAAGAAAATAATGATAGAATAAAATGAAACAATCAAACAAATGTGCCATGCATCAATTATTTCTAAGATTATCAAGTCTTCTAATTAAGAGCCCTCACTTTGATACCAATTATAAAAAAAAAAAAAGGAAAGGGGGTAAATTGGCTGTGCTACTAATAATTTGCTCAAAAAAAATTGATTATGGAATTCTACCAATTCAAATGATGTGGTATTTATAGGCCTAAAAAATAAATCTGAAATATATATATATATATATATATA